GTACTTCTGTACTTTTACTTAAGTAAACATCTGTCTTTAAAACTTTCACTAGTAATGGAGTAATATTTGACCAGCAGCATATACTTTGACTCAAGTAATGGAGTTGACTTTGTCCGCCTCTGATAATAATAATGATAACTCAGTTCGGAAAGTTATGAATGAGTTTATATGAGTTTCATTTTCCCTTTCAATTTTGAATTTGAATTCACAGGAATTAGCCATCATTTTGCCAAAACAAAAATAGTTATGAATGAGATTGGTTACACCTGCACATTTTCTGATTGAATGATTGATTAACTGATATTTTATTTTATTATATTTTATTTATTTATTTCGGTTTCTGGTCCACTCTTTATTGAAGATGTAGCAGGCATTTCTTGTAGGCTAATTCTGTGTCTTTAAAGTTTGAATAAATCATATTTTCTGATTTGTTTGCACAAATTGCTCTGTGTAACAGATGTATGGAATGTCTTGGTTTCTTTATTCTTGTTTATTCTTTTTTGTCGAATTAAAAAAGAAGAAGAAAAAAGCCAATCAGATAACAGGTATGCAGAAGTCAGCACAGTTTAGATCAGGGATTGTCAATGTTGTTCAGGGTAAAGAACACTTATGCGACCGAGACATGGAGCAGAGCTCCCCGATATAAAATGTGTCAAGCAGAGCTAAGTATTAAGCATACAGCCTTCGATATCAATAGAAACTAACCATATTATGATTAGCAATAAATTATATTGTTATATGTACATTATGTTAAGACAGCAGATCAGAACTATTGTTGTTACACATGCATCACTGCTTGTATTAAACTTTAGATTTACTGTATGCTTCATTACATTTTATTTGGGGGCCCCTTGGTGCTGCCAATGCGACTGATTATTGTCAATGCTTAATTATTTGCACACTATAAATCTAACACGCCCATTATCAATTTTATTTGTTGTAGATGTGTTTCGTACATCATACCAGTGTCTGCCTGGCATGTTTTTATCCCTCTGCGATTTTTTTTAATAATTTTTAATTATAACAATAGCAAACCCACAAGAGTGGTCAGGTGTAAATTTGTACTTTAACATTCAAAGTCTTACATGGACTAAGTAGCATACTTAATGTGGTCGGCTGAAAAGTACCTAAATAAACCAGAAGACACTTACAGAACAGAATGTTATTTTAACAACATAAATGATTATAAACAGCAGCAAGTCATCTGTACGTCTAAAACAGAAGATCCTAATCTATAACTAGCTAATTGTTGCATAATGATATTGGAATATATAACAGTAAAGACCCCAACAGGCTAAGGTAAATAATGCTAAGCTGTCATCAGTACCAAGTTTATGAAACAGAAGCTTATTTTTATTGCGAAAATATATAGGAAAGTTATTTTTACACAGTAGACAAAAACTTTAATCTAAAACTAGGTAAGTAAAATGTTATATATTATAATTTAGTAAGATGTCAAGGCTTTTTACGGATGTTTAATCAAACATGAACTTCCTTAAAACCAGAAGATACCTAGGCTATGCTAATTAACCAGTCAGCAGGCATTGCTCTCTCTGATCTGATTTGTGCCTCAGGTTAATTTTTAATTAACAATAGCAAACCCACAAGAGTAGTCAGGTGTTCATTTGCACTTTAAAATTCAAAGTCTTACATGGACTAAGTGGCGTACTAATTGTGGTGTAAATGGGTAAATTATGTGATGATAATCTGACAGATCCACACGGCAGCGTCCAGTGCACATTAAAACTAATCTATCAGCTATCATGGTTAATAAACAACCTTAAACCACGGTCTGCCTGAATACTCGATTCTGATTGGTTGGCAGGTATGCATTAAAGGTGACATATCATGAAAATCTGACTTTTCCAGGTTTTAAGTGCTATAATCATGTTCCCGGTGCATCTACCAACCAAGGAAATGTGAAAAAGATTAACCCAGTAACTTTTTTTAAGTAAGCCTTTCTCTGCAAGCTTCTGAGAAAACAAGCGCGTTTCCAGTTCTAATGCCATGGAGAAAGTCTGAGCAAAACATGCTAACTGTTCTGTGTTTGGCTGCACAGACGAGCACAGAACACTGTTTAGAGTCCCAGCCTCAGAGGAGACGAGAGCAGTGGATTTATGGATTTATTTAATGTAGTAAGCCTTTCTCTGCAAGCTTCTGAGAAAACAAGTGCGTTTCCAGTTCTAATGCCATGGAGAAAGTCTGAGCAAAACATGCTAACTGTTCTGTGTTTGGCTGCACAGACGAGCACAGAACACTGTTTAGAGTCCCAGCCTCAGAGGAGACGAGAGCAGTGGATTTATGGATTTATTTAATGTATATTGCTGCTGCCACACTGATCTAAAATTATTATTTCCCTGTTTACCTTCACAGACATAACCGACTGTTTTTGTAACTTGTGTGTTGTTAACGTAAACTTGTGTGTGAATGAGAACTTAGTTTAGTACTCACATGCTGTGACAGCCGCTTTCTGTGCGTGTGCTTCGGATGTGTGCTCTCAGAAAACCGTATATCAGAAGTTTAAACTCATATGGTTTAAAACGCATGATTTCAGCACGATAAACATGACAATCAGAACCAAAACAGATGTTTTTAGCAGGTCAGAGCTGTAATGGCACAGCTCTATTCTGGAAAAGGGGGCGGGGAGCAGCAGCTCATATGCATTTAAAGAGACAGACCCGAAAAACAGCGTGTCTCTGCTTCCACTCAAAATAGGTGTAACAAAGTTCGTAGTCACGGCAAGAAGGAGGCGGGAACCGGCGAACATTTGAACAAAACTTTAATAATAATAAAAAAAAAAACACAAAACGAAAGTAAAGCGGCAGCCCCTCGCGGACAACTGCCGCACACAAAACACAAAATAAAGTCCAGGCCTGGTCCTCTCTCGTCTTTCACTGTCGTCACTCCTCCTTTTATACTTCCGGAGCTCCTCCGTGAGACTCGAGACCGGTGAGTGGTGGAGGTGTCGCTCATTATCAACTACTCCACCAGCCTCGCTCCGTTCCCACGGCTCTCGGCCCCGCCCCAACTCGTCACAATAGGCATTTTCAAAATGATATAATAAATGATCTGTGGAGTATTTTGAGCTGAACCTTCACAGACACATTCTGGGGACACCAGAGACTTGTATTACATATTGTAAAAAGGGGCATAATATGTCTCCTTTAAAACTCTTTAATGCACAGGAACTTCTAAGTCAGTTTAATCACCATTCTATATTAATGCGTTGCTTTAATTGATGCACACTAACCCACACACATCACTAGCACACAAACAAACACACA